TCAAGATAAGTTGAAGCAGATGGTGAGTGAAGAGGGTCGAACTTCTACGAAGGTATTTGCTCATCTAAGCTGCTTTTAGTTGTACCTACATATAGGATGCCTTCTGCAAAAACTTTATGATTCATGTTTTGACCATGGTTGATGGTGCATGTTTTGACCTAATTCCTATTGTGCTATAACAGAGAGAAGGAGATGTTGATGATGAGTCAGACAAAAGGGATTTAAAGAAACTAAAGGTAGAGACATGCAATTGAAAAGATACCATGAATATTCAGTGATCTTTTTGTCCAAATTTTCATATTATGATATGTTTTTCACTTTTCCATATCTTTAAGGAACTGATTGTATTCATGTAATTCTGCTTTGTATTTATAGACTGATGAAGATGAGGAAAGTGTGAAAGAAAAAAAGAATGCAACAAATGAAAAGGTATACTGTTATACTATTCAATTGGACTATAGATAAATTACAAACATACCCTTATGTCTTCTTCCTCTACATGTATCAAGATTGTTGCAGAGTATGCAAAGTCAGGAAAATCTTCATGCAAGAAATGCACTGAAAAGATCGATTCAAAATCTTTAAGATTGGGATTGAGTATATGGGACCCACGAGGATATGAAAACACCAAATGGTATCACTCAGACTGTTTCTTTCCTCTTGATGTAAACTTGTTGTCAGCAGAATCAATCGAAGGATTTTCAGAACTCAAGGTGGGGCCCAGTTTAATTTTCTAGCTACTGATTTTATTTTCTTTTGATAACCATTTTTGTTTTTCACATATGGTCAGAATCAATATTTTGATAACTGTTTTTGTTGAATTTTTTTTTTTGGTATTTGCTATGCAGAACGATGATCAAGAAAAATTGAAGATACTTGTGACAGAAAGGGATCAAAAGAGTGGAAAGGTATTAAAATTTTTAAATCGATAATCGAATAATGGTATATTTATATAATTTAGAAATAAACTCAGTATTGTTTACCCAAATTTCTAGCTTTTTGTTTTCTTTTTAACATATTATTTAAAGCACAACACTTTAATAATATAATTTTGAATTCATTTTTGCATCTGTGTTGTTAAATATGGCTCTGCTTTGTCTTATAGATCATAAAAATGAAAAGAATTTATGTGATCTTGTATTGAAATACATGTAATAAGCTATGTCTCAAATGTTTCATTTATTTTTCTTCTCCATATACTTGTTGATGAGAGCTTTTTTAATGTTGACATATTTGCTGTTTTGATATAACAGAGAGAAGGAGATGTTGATTGTGAGTCTGACAAAAGGGATTTAAAGAAACTAAAGGTATGGAGATGTGGTATGTTTATCATATCTTTCTTTCTTTCTTTCTTTTTTTTAATACATACAACTACAAAAAGATTTATCAGGAAGATACTTGGATGTTAATAGTCATATCAACTACATAATTTCTTTCCATTTTCATCCATAATAACAAATTAAGTTCAAATTTGAGGAATGTTAATGATTTTAATAAATGAAAAAGGGGAAATTGCATATGAATTAGGAATGCAACTTACTGTGGCCAAATTTCTATAATGTATAGCAAAGTTTTGTTTTTTCTGTATTAAGGGGAAATTGTATTTTAAGGTGATTTCTTTTCTTACCTCTAAAACTTTATTTCAGTTTTCTAAGTTTTTGAAAGTAAGTTATCTTTTCTTGGGTCAAAACAATTACACTATATATATAAAAATTGGCTAAAATATGTTCCCTTTTTGAAGAATGACATGTGGATGCCACATCATCATTTTAAACACGTGGCATTCAATGTAACTCATAAGCAGGAACTCAACTCAACTCATTAGCCTGTTTACTTCAAATAGAAGTTTTTGCAAATACGTTGCCTTATCTTTGGGCAAAACATTGTTCATTAATCATTACCATAAATAGAAATATGGCCAAAGTATGTTACCTTTCTATGCAACTCTTAATAAATGAAAAAATCATTGTGAAATAAGGCATAGACAATCAACTATTGAACATTTAGACATATTAGATCACATGGTTTCACATCTTAATCAATTTGAATGTATTTGAAATTATATTGAGAATGTAAGTATGTTATTGATAAATCTTTATATAGAGGTATGCAATTGAAAAGATACACCATACATATTCAGGGATCATTTTGTCAAATTTTCCTTATATGGCCTGTTTTACACTTTTCCATATTTTTAAGAAACTGATAGTATACATGAAAATCTGGTTTGTATTTATAGATTGATGAAGATAAGAAAACCGGGCAAGAAAAAAAGAATGCAACAAATGAAAAGGTATACTGTTATGCTACTAAAATGGACTATAGCCAAATTACAAACATACCCTTATGTCTTCTTCCTCCACTTGTATCAAGATTGTTGCAGAGTATGCAAAGTCAGGAAGATCTTCATGCAAAAAATGCTCTGAAAAAATCGATTCAAAATCTTTAAGATTGGGATTGAGTATATGGGACCCACGAGGGTATGAAAACACCAAATGGTATCACTCAGACTGTTTCTTCCCTGTTGATGCAAACTTGTTGTCAGCAGAATCAATCGAAGGGTTTTCACAACTCAAGGTGGGGCCCAGTTTCATTTTCTTTTGATTAACAATTTTTTTTCTTCACTTATAATCAGAATCACTATTTTGTCAACTGTTTTTGCTGTATTTTTTGGTGTTTGTTATGCAGAGCAATGATCAAGAAAAACTGAAGAAACTTGTGACAGAAAAGGATCAATCTTCTAAGAAGGTACTATTTACTGTTTACTATTTTTGTCATTTTTAACGAATTAGAAAACTATTCAAAGTTTAAACCAGTCATTTTAATGATTTGAGTTTCCATTTTTAGACATCTGATAAACTTGATGAAGACATTGGATTGAAGATAGACTTTTCAGCTAATGATGTCAAGGACAATTACAAGGTAAGATCAATCAACAATTTTTGCTTGATTTTGTGAAAATTTTATACTAAAATGTTCAATTTATACCCAACTTCTATTACTTTTATGCATATGTAAATACTTATGGTTTTTATTTGTTTTAGGGTGCAACATTACAGCCAAAATGGAAGGTGTTCCAGACCCTTATATATCTAGAACGGGTTAGTTCTTTTTTTAGTGTAATTTACATTTTTGGCTCCTGAGTATATCTGATTTTTGCAAATTTGGTCCTTATTTGAGGTTTTTGTAACGTTTTTGGTCACTATTCCAAGTAAAAGGACTATCTTTGGGGCCAAAAATAGTTATTTTTCTTAGGGACCAAAAATATCACAAGAACTACAAAATAAGGACCAAAATTGCAAAAATCATCTATCCTCAGGGACCAAAAATGTACTTATACTCATAATCATTTTGTAGGAAGATGGTCTCCAAGATTCAAGTAAAATTGCTGCTTTTGATTTTGATGGATGTCTTGCAAAAACATCAGTTCAAAGGTACACATGACAGAACATCTTTGCAAAAAGACGAAAATGCCCTTCTGATCATGTACATATAATTAATTACAGAGTAGGTGCAAGTGCTTGGTCTCTTATGTATGCTTCAATCCCAAACAAGTTACAAAGCTTGTACAATGATGGTTTCAAACTGGTTTGCAATTCCCTTATTTATTTATTTATTTAATTTCAATATTCTAAAACAATAACATGTTATTTTTTATCATCTATATCTCTATAACATCTTTTATTATCATTAGGTTATTTTCACAAATGAATCAAATATCGAACGTTGGAAGAACAAGCGACAGGTGGCAGTTGACTCCAAGATCGGAAGACTCAACAGCTTCATTAAACTCGCAAATGTCCCAATTCAGGTAATTGTAAAAGGACAATAATGTCCTTTGACTATCTTCACAGATTTAGCCACTGAACTATTATTATCAATTTATTATAATAATAATAATTATGCAGGTTTTCATTGCTTGTGGTGTAAGTAAAGGCCAAGAACATGACCCCTTTCGCAAGCCAAAAACTGGAATGTGGCGAATTATGGAACAACATTTTAATTCTGGAATTCCAATTGATATGGATAAGTATATGCTCCTTCTTTCATAACTTCATATACATAAATTTTTGAGTAAGTTACATTTTTGGTCCCTGAGTATAGCTTTCTCTTGCAGTTTTGGTCCTTGTTTGAGGTTTTTGCAATTTTGGTACAAAAAATAGTTATTTTACTTGGAACAGGGACCAAAAATGTTACAAGCATCTCAAATAAGGACCAAAATTATAAGAATCAGATAATCTCAAGGACCAAAAATGTAATTTTCTAATCTTAATAACTGGTGTGATGTATTTATTATAGGTCGTTTTATGTTGGTGATGCTGCTGGAAGAAAAGATGATCATAGTGATGCTGACAAGAAATTTGCAGAGGTAATAATGAATTAATTAATTATACTTACATTGTCTTCACTGATAATAGCAATGTACTTTTAGATGAAACCCATAATAGCAATGTACTTATTTCTAAAGAATTGTAAGTATGTTGCTATTTTGGGTAAGTAATAAAGTATGTTGCTATTTCTTGTAATTTGAGAAAGGAACATTTTTGTTGTTGTAGGATATTGGGTTGAAGTTTTACCTTCCAGAAGAATACTTTGATCAATGAAAGATGGGAGGTGTTGTTATTAGGGTATAATTACAAGTCTACCCTTTTGTCTGTTTGACACTTGGTCTCTGATATAAGAGATCTCTACTTATGGTTGCTTGTAATCTAATAATACATTGGTGATAGTTTCACTTCTTTTGTCATGATCTTTTTGTTTGTGTAAATTTTCATGCGTAATGTACAAGTCACGAAAACGGTCTTATATCGATAATTTTGATGTGTATTTAAGGTCTTTATCTCATCTTGCGTTGTAGAATAATAATGTGGGCATTTTTCCTTATTATTTAATTATTAAAATAATAAACTAAACAGGAAAAATAGCAAAATAGTTTTTTCTAACACCAATAGAAATTACATGAATAAAATACACGAAACGATTTTTTTTTTCTTGGTATCTTACATTTTCTTCTTCCCACCACCAATCTCACCTTCTACAATAGCATGCCTCGTCAACACAATCTCTTTAACAAGATTCTTGTAAAGAAAAGGTCTTACAGCAGCTCTCAAGAATTGACCCGGTGGAATCCTACTCTTCTTAATCTTCTTCATCCGTGGGCCATACCCTAATTGCTTCCACTCTTCCGGGCTTATCTTAGCCCTACCACCCCTCATTCCCAATTCTCCCTCTTCACTCTCATCTCCTTTTGTCTCCTCCTTTTTCCTCTCTTCCATCACCTTCGATTGCTTCTCATACAATTTCGTTGTCATTTTCACACTTCGCCTCGCCATTACCTCCATCTCTTCATTGCTATTCACCGCTTTCTTGAACTCTTCTTCCCAATACTTCTCATCTTCTTCTTCTTCCACACCATCATCATCATCATGATCATCTTCAACATCATCATCATTGAGCTCCGCATCAAGCACTACATCATCTTCTTCATCATCATCATCTTCGATCCAATCCAAAACTTCCCCTTTTGCGCCACCATCATCATTCTCATCGGGGGCATCACAACCCAATTCCATTTCCTCTAATTTAGCTTTCCATTCCTTTGTATACGGATGAAGTAACTCAATTGGATGATTCCCGAGTAAAAACTCCAAACATTTTGACTTCTTTTCATCGCTAGCTTTCTCAAAAGCTTTCACCACATCATCCACAAAAGCTTTTGGATTCACTCTCAAAATCTTACATAACCCACCAAAATAAGTACACATTTCCACCCCACCATCGTCACTTTCCAACTGACACATAAAATCTTGCTCGGTTTCAGGGTCAAGAAGAGGTGCCATTGATTTAAAAAACTCATCTTGAGGTTCAAATCGACATTGGTAAACGGGTCTTTTTACGTATATGATATCGGGTCTCATCCATGCTGCACATTTTGTTATCAAAGCTCTGGTTCTGTTCCCGAGTCTACCCATTAAATTCCATTTATCTAACCTCTGTTTTCCAGCTTCAACTACAACTTCACTAACAAGAGTCCATTGCTCCCATGGCAGCTCTGAAACTCTCCATTTTGGATGCCTGACAAACACCCAAAAGTATCTGAATCCAACGGTTTTATCTAGCGACTCCAATCTCTGACCAAAATCTTGACTCATTTCAAACTGTTCGATCTTTTCCCACTCTTCTTGATCTCTAACTTCGCCAATCAAAGTCACGTTTTCATCTGAAAATCGACCACGGATTGGTTCTCCTAAAACCACCCCACGCCATGAATATGGTCCGAATTCACCATACTTGTACCAATCATATGGGTGCTTAAGATTCGGATCGTCTTTCTCCATAAACTGAACCATTCGATCGTATCCTAACCCAATCATTTGCAGCTCATCTTCAGAAAAGTTATTAGGGTAATTGCCGTGGGGATTCTTCAGCCTATAGAACAGGCTTTCAGCGAGCTTCTTGCTCTTCCGTCGAGCATTTCGTTTTGCTTCTCTACGTAGCTCGGCGGTTCCTTCGATGCGGCCGCCGCCGGGAGCGCCCCCTGCTATTTTCTTGCTACGCCCGGCATATGATCGAACATCTGGTCTGCAAGACGCATTGTTTGGTTGGAAAAATGAACTGATTGATAAGGTTTTTGGGAGTTTGGGGCATGAGTGAAGTGGAATTATGGCTCTGTAAAGAGGGTTTGAGAATTTCGTTAGGGGATATGGATAAGGTGTGAAGGTTGAGAAACAGGGGTTTAGGGTTTTAGACAGGGAAGGGTTTTGTGGCAGCATCTCGCAATCAGTGAAAGACAAGAGATAAAGCTCCACTGATATAGAAGACACACCATTTTTTTTTAATGATAATATTTTGTAGTTCAAATTATCTAAAATAATTTAAACAATATTTTCCTTATATTTTGGTTGTTTTGATGTTTGTTTTAGAGTTGATTTATGTGATATTAAATAATAAAAAAATGTTATTTAAGTGACTTTTTGTTGTTTCAGAAAATTTCAGTAACATGTTGTTTGAGTTTTTCTGAAATCAAAATATATATTAAGTTAATAACAACAATATGAATTTTTTTATCGACTGTAATAATTATTTATTTCTTAATAGTATTGTTACCAATGAGGCAATGTTGTATATAAAAAACACATAAATATTGATATTGTTACAACGTATTTCACAAAAATTCCAATTCAATAACAATAAATTAACTATAAAGTTTTGATTACCTGTTAATAACATCGTTATTTTAATACCATGACATTTTCATAACATCAAAACAAAACTAATAATTATTTAATAAAAAACACAACATATCAATAATAACTAATTATCAAAGAGTTTTTTGGCCTAGCGGTATCAGAAGTTGACGATAAGTATCGTTTAACCAAAGATTGAGGGTTCAAGTACCATTGATGACGAGATGTGTATATTTAGGGGTTGAGTGATGTAAGATTTTAGGTCTTAGAATATCAGTTAACTTCGATCATTTCTAGGATCGTGATTGCAATCACTTTCCAAAATTTGTGATTTCGACCCTTATGTCTGGGATATCATGAAATCCGATTTGGGATAATCCAAGAAATGCAATTTTGAAAACCAGGCCACTTCTAAAATCAAAACATAGAAATATATCTTACTGTTTTGTGTTTTGTAGAGATAGAGAACAAAATATACTTTTCATGTATATGAGTCCAACCATTTTTCTAAAACCAAAGAAATGTTCTTATGCTAGAGGGAAAAGAGGTCACGACGGTTGCCTCTAGATTTGACGCCAAACTCGGTAGTTATTAAACATAACTAGAGGCGAGCCTACATGTTTCTTAAGGGTGTCCATGGACACCCTTAATTTTAAAATTATATTTACAGTATATGCAGTAAGTTTAAAAAGGACACCTATGGGCATAAAAAAGAAGATACCTTTTGGATTTGGATGTAACATGAAACAAAAAATAATAACCGACTTTGATATTTCAAGCTTTTCAATCAAATATATTTTTAACTTTTAAAACTTGTAAAAATTTTAGGAACACAAATTTAGGAGGCGTTTAACAAAACCAAATCTTTTCTATAAATATAACAATAAAAAGATAATTCAAAGTTCAAACTTAATATAATTTCTTGCTAAACATAATAGAAGGTAAAGTGTAAAAATTGAAAAACCTAAGAAAATTACTAATTTTTGGTGCAACCGGACACTGTTCGTTTTCTTAATCTCTCTCCACCGTCGTTTGCAAGCTACTTCTCCTCGACTCCTTTGGATATTCGACTCCTTTATTTTGAGGTACCTTTCTTTCTTCTTTTAGGTTAATTCTAGTTTAGTGTGTTGTAGTAGAAGCAAAATAAATATGAGTTTGAATTGAATAGTCAAAACCAATGATATTGCCATATTTATACATATTTTTAGGCAATATTTTAATACATTTTTATTAATATTTTGATTATTTGCAAAGATATATGGTACTTATTGAATTAAATTGTTTTATGTAGCCAAAAGGAACACTGTTGAAGAATAAGGACCATAATTGACAAGAATTGGAACTTTGGAGGATGGAAGCTTAAAAGAAGAAAATTCCAGCGAAAAACACAAATCACGACATAGAGTGAGTATTCTAGAAGATAAGTACGCGGTAAGTCATAATCCTTACCCGATAAGGATTTGTACCCAAGTCACAACGTGAAATCCTTGTTCACGTCGTGAAGCACGATATTTTCAAAACTATAAATACTCATTCATTTTTACGATTAAAAGAGGCTTGAAAGGGTTTTCATAGAGATTTCTGAAGGAGAATTATTCAGAGAAACCGAATTTAAAGTCCAGAAACGGCATAAAGCATTCTATGAAGGAGATTAGCTTGGAGATCAAGAGATTGAAGAACACATTCATTACTTTGGTTTGTTTACTTTAATCATGTCAATTTATGTGGAGATTTTGTCTATGTTTTCAACCATGAGTAGCTGAATTTAGTTGCTTTCGTTTAGCTAGATGAAGCTTTAACTCTATGGTTTAGTTTATCAAATTATGAATTTTAATAGTTGGTTTTGAGCTTGTGTTTGATTATCATTACCTAGCATGTTAATATTTGATACTTTGATTGCTTGAATTCAGGTTCTGTATAGCTTAGTGACAATTAAAATTACATGACCTTGTTACCTAGTAGTTTAGTGACTATTAAATTGCTTGAGCTAGGATCGACCAAATCTTAGATAAATGATAAAAGTAACTAATTTAGCTGTGTTGGAGAACATAAATTATGACCATAATTGTGTTTATTTGGATCAATCTTACATAGCTTATCTATATCCTATAACCGATTTTGTGTTTGCTAGTGTATGGTCATGCATAGTTTTACATGAATTAGTGAAAACATTAGTAAATTTGGACTTGAATTGCTAATAACATAATATTTTATAACCAACTTTAATAACCCATAATTAGTAGCTAACCATAGAGGAGAAGTGGATTTGAACTAAACAGAAGTGTTTTTAAGAATTGATTGAAATCATTAGTTAAGTGTTTAAGTTTGCCCGAACTTGCAAAATCAGATAAAAACCAGTTTAACTTTTGCTTGTTTTTAGGTTAATTTTTAGTAATTAAATTAGATAATTAAATCTGTTCATTGTGTTCGATACCCGACTGTTAGTGCTATAATAGTTGCGAGAAAATACACTGCCTTAAATCGTAATAGTTAGTTAGATAGCTGATAAAACTAATATATATAGTAATATTACGTATCAACCTACAACCTAGTAATAGCATGCAAGCGACTATATAACAATATTTTGTTAGAGCAATCTCTTGTGCCTTGGTTTAATAAACATTAAGTTATTAATTTCTAACCTTTTTCTTCATCTCTTTATAATAGTTATATGTTTTCATTAGATATTTAGATCATCATTATATATTTATATGTATAATTTAAAGAAAATCTAAGAATAATATTAGTTGTATATTGTTTATTAATTTAGTATATTTTTATGTTTTTATTTGGGTCATAATGTTAAACACAAAAAAACAAATGTTTTGTCTCATAATCATGAAAAAACACATGGAAAGGGTGAGCAACAAACACATTCAAAATATATAAAAGTTGATAAACAATGTTTTGTTTAATAAAATTATTGATCAACTTATTAATAAGTGTCTATTATTATAGATTCATTTATAGAATGTTTTCAAAATATAAAAATTTATCGTGAACATCGTAAAATATTTATTAGTACTTTTTGAACTAAGTTTGATTTTTTTTATATGAAGTATTATTGACAACTATTTAAAGTGGACACCCGTGAGTTTTAATCCTAGATTTGCCACTGGACATAACTAACGCTTACATCATCAAGATGTCATCAGGAGAGTTTTGACGGGAAATTGCATGGAGCCGATGTAAATTCCGTTTAGGTTTCGGGGCGGGAAATTGCGGAACCACCGCCAGGGCGCTGGCCCTAAATCCCACCCCTTGGAACCCTGCACCTAGAACCACTAATTTTGAAACCGCAACCATCGATATAGTGTTAACAAACTTTATTTTTAAATTGCCATTTTTTTGGAAACCACATGGCGACTTATGAAATTTTGTACTTTGGAATAAAATTTTGATTTTGAGTAAACCATAGGAACCATATCCGTAAGAAAATACAAACCTAAAGACAACAATGGGAAGATTTCAAAATTTGGACTGAAACTGTGATTTTGAGTAAAATAGAGGACCAAAGTTGTAATTACTTAATATTTAATAAAGTTTTAACATACGTATTTGAGAATGCACGGTATAATACTCGGATTCCATCGATCAAAGAAACTTTTCTCAACGCTTGTTCTGTTGTTCATCACCAACACCAATCCCACGATATCATCCATCCCTTCTTTCGAGAGAATTACTTCAATGGCCGAAGCATAAACAACCCAAATTTCATGGCTCCTAGAACCCACTTGACAGATCTCGGAAGCATCGCCAACGTTGATCTGACCGAACTTGGCGCAGGCAAGGAAGGCTGGCTTGATAATCCCAATCTCCTCTGTGCTCTCGATACAAATTCTCTTGCAATCGCCAATCGATACTACATCCTTGTTCTCGAGTGGTCTAATGCCTCTGGTACTGCTAGCTTTCGGGTCAAGATCCGACCCAATCTTTCCCCAATTGAGGCGGAGTATGTATCTGCTCTTGAGTGGTTGGTTTTTGATGATATTAGGGTTATTGCAATCGGAACATCTTGTGGGTACTTTTTGATTTACTCACTTGGAGGCGATCTTATTCACAAACAGGTACCCTCAATTAGATTACTTCCATTACTGCACTTCGATTTTGAATATGCTTCTAAATTGAACTCGTTCAGAACCAATTGCTAACTACAAAAAATTCAATATGAGTGCTATGAATTGCATAATCAGTTTTACCCAATCGCTCAAATAGTCACACTTTTCGCCATGGAGCGAGGTAAAATGAGCTAAAAGAATTGAGACATTGAGAGTTTGATTTTCTCCATGAAGCAAGATCAAGGAAAATTAAAGTAAATTGCCATGATGTTTTTGCAGCTTGTATACCCTGGAAGGATTCTAAGGTTAAGAGTACGTGGAACCAAGCGAGATATTACAGAAGATACATCATCTTTTGAAGAAGTATGTGTTGTTATAGCAGGCATAATTGCTCGATTTGATGGATCTGATCTTCAGGTACCTCTGTTTCCTTTTTTTCATTAAGATAACCATAGATGATGGATAATATACATTTAAGAAAATGAATGGACATTGGGCACCTATTATCTTTTTAGTATGATGGAATGG